CCAGGGAAGTTGACTTGCGTAATAGATCCACCTCAGGGTCACTGAGTTGCGCGATGGGGCATCGCCACCAGGTTGATAGCACTGTCAGCGTCAAAATAGATTGCTTAAACTAGAGAAATTGGGTCAGCTACAATACGCCGGTACGTCGGCTGCAAATTCAGCGAAATAGTCCAGATGGTGTGACTTATTAGGAGAGTATCGGCTAGTTGTGAAGCCCAGCATGTAACTCACCAAGACCTATCGAAAGTGAGTTACGGATGAGTAGATGGCTAATAGCCCCGAACCGAACGTGCTGTAACAAAATTCGGCAGGTAGCAGGTGTATAAAGAAAAAACGCGAGGTTGCCATGTGTCACCTAGCTGGTGCTGCAATACAGCGCCAACTGCCAAGCCAGAAGCGCCGGTATTGATTGACAGTGGGACTGCCGGCTCGTAGTGAGCTGTGGAATCTATGTTGGCGATAGCTTCTTTTAAATGTTTGAACGCAGTGCGGGTTGTAGCAGAAAAATCGAATTTCCTGAGCTCCCGTCGGAGAAGATAGTGAGAGGCTGCATAATTAAGTCTGAAGAAGAGATAAAGATTGACGATCTGCGTGAAAGAATGAGGCTCAAGGTGATTAATGATGGCTTCAAACATATCCTGCAGTGGGACGACGCCCACAGAAGAGATATGCTGGCCAAAAAACTGACAGAATCGACCACAAACGAACGTTTTCCGCGTTGATCATCACACTGCATTTGGATAAACGTGGCGTAAGTGCTCAAGACACAAAGTGCTCGCGATCAGGATGTCGTTGAGATAAACATAGACGAAGTCCAAACCGCGACAGCTCGATTGATGAAACATTGAACAGTTTGTACCGCATTCTTTAGACTATATGGCACGCGAAGAAACTCTAATAAATCAAACGTGGTCGCCACGGCAGTTTCAGCGACATGCGCCTCTGCTACGATGATTTGGTTATATGCGAGAACCAGAACGACTATGAGATGCAAGGCAAGTGGGATCAGAGAGCGATCGGGCGTAGTAACAGTTCACAAGGCACGGCAGTCGTCAGAAGAGCGCTAGTCCCTGATCATTTACTTCAGAACCGTGTAGAGAAGCGACGCACGTGAACTGTTGGACGGTCTGACGATACTGAGCTGGAACATGTGGTCGAATTCAGCTCGTTCGGTGGGTAGATTATTTGGGGCGAGCCGTCCCGATCGGGCACTCGTCGGCTGACTACGCATTACTAGGTGACGAGCGACCTATATTGTGAGTAGTGAAAGGTCTGCAGTTGATCGTACCGGTCGCGGGTATTCGGAGAACAGGCTAGTATAGTCTGAAGGTGCGCCGGTGATTCGCAGAACGGGGTTGTCTGAAAGAAAGTCAACAACCCCCAGTTCAGCACCGTCATCTAGAAGCCCGTGGCGACCAGCATCAACAGGTAATCCAAAATGGCGGAGGAAATCTATACGGCTAGTCGCGAAGGGTATGCACGCAACCGTGAAAATCCACCGAAAGTTTTGGCTAAGATTTAAATCCAGTTTCGTTATGCGCTGACCACCTGAAGCTATCAGTGAACCGTTGGCCACACGCAGGTTGTAGGTTGGTTTTTATTGCTTGTCGTCAACCTTCGCAGGGGTGACGCTCACTTCCGCTCCCGTGCCGATGAGAAAAGTGATGCAAGAACGCGGATGCTCAACGTAAAACAGGTGATCCGTTTTGTTGCCGGTAGGTGCGCTTGTCATACTAGCATCCGGATTATTCGTTTTCCCTGAAGCGGATAAGTTGTGCCTGGTGCATAGAGCCCGGCAACGTCGAGGTTTCTCGTTATAATGACGGTGACACTAACACAGTTCGTCGACTTGCTGGGTACTACGGAACTTAGAACGTGTCGAGGAAATATTGCGTTGTTGTACCGACGTACTCGGCGCGGAGAGAGACAAGCTGCAATGAACGCTAGTTAAATGTAGTCAGCGTCCGAAATTGGCGTACCCTGCTTCGTAAAATTCATGCTTGCTGCCCTACAGCGATGTAGCGTAATTTACCCGTCTCTAGAGTCAGATGGGCACGGCGACTCGCAACAAGTGTAGCACTCTTTTTTCATCACTGCAAATACGTCACCAAAGCTACTGGTTGTCGGCTGCGGAAGGCGTTCGAACGCAGTGTTTGCTACAATGGATAGTTCTTTCAATGGCTTGTCTAGAAACATGGACAATATCATGGTAATGGATCTGGGAGATAGATAAGCCATACCTCCGTTATCTTATTCTCGCATAAAATAAGGGACCAGCAATGAGCTGAATTTTGCGAAGTAGTCGTCTTGCAAGTACTTAGCTTGGGACCACCGAGCCCGTGCACTTGGCGGTGACTGCGTTAAAATCGCCAACTTCATTGTTTCGTAGTTTGCCTCCTCTGATGGTTAAGGCTGAGCATATCCTGTATCAACGTCCCCACCGATAAGGGAAGTGTTGAATAAGCTGAATGCACTTTAATCGGTCCGTCTGAATTCCCATATTTTCTAGCGCGATTATGAACATAGCAACCCAAACATCTGTACTGCGTTCCATGAAATCGGACAGCCAAATTTAGCATACAGGTGCTGTGATATGACTCATGTACCACGTGCGAGTTGTGCATAGCGAAGACCAACATTAAACAAAAATACGACAAATCTATAAAAGTGAAGCAAGTGACAAAATATGCACCTTACGAATCACGAGAAAGGAACGGAATAGTCAAAGAAACGAATCAGGGTCATCATTTTAATAGACTAGTAAAAACTGGTCCGAAACAGGGCGCGTAATGAAGCGAGGATATCAGGAAGTAAATTAAGTAGGGCAAAGCGGAAAGGTTACAAAAGGACGTGGACGGATGTAGCGAGACAGGAGCGGATGTCAGCACAGAAACTAACGGAGCAGACAAGTGGGAGGGGATATGGACAGAAAGTGAGAAGCAGTAAAACAAGGACAAATATTGTACAATCGATAAGGAATAAAAATTCACATAAAAGGAAAGAGTCACCCGACTGGACATTACAAGAGCAATGTACTATCAGCAAAAGAACTGGATGATCGGAAGGTACGGAGAACAATAAAGTCCGATGTCGCAAAATGTTGAAAGTGTAAATGTTGCACATTCACTACAATAGCTGGGGAAGTTGGAATACCAAAATCGCGTATATCTCGCAACTGAAATACGCAGTTAACACGGTCGAAAGCACTGCTGTAGCCTGTAACGAACTTAAAAACATACTGCCTATTATTTTACGTTGTATTTTATTATTGTTTGAAGCTTCTCAATGATTCTTTGTTTTAGTGACTGTATATCCATGTTCACAAACTGCTCTGGTGAGTTCCGCGTAGCACGTTCCTCAACTTTACCAATTCACTTTCCATATGTCGTGCTGTCGGCGCGACTTCATTTAAGGTACCGTAAAATGAGGCAACTTTGGCCCCGTTGGGGAATTTGGTGCCAACATGAAAACAGTTTAAAACTTAGAGGACAGTTATTTTTACTAGTTTGTGTGTGGTAAACTCAGTTTTATGTGTTGAAAATTTAATTTTCATTAATTTGAAACCATTCTAAGCTAAGATGGAACATTCGGTTATGAGAATACTCGCCGTGAAGATGGCCTATTTTAGGACATGTATTTAACATACGGTATACCTTTAACAGTAGAGCAAGTTTCTAAGAGAGTGTAGGTATAACTACCTGTGTTGTAGCTTTGTCAGTAAGTCATCGTAAGCGCATTTGATGTTATCCAAACACTTTATCATGCATTACGTTGCTATCTTGGTGTCCAATGTTACCCCAGTAAGCTTTGTCATTTTGGGGTAACTTTCACCACGTAACCAAAGCAACTCTGTTAAGTGAACACTGTTAGAATACAATGCTTAATGTTTGCAAGTCCAAACAAAATGTCATTAGTGTTAACTGTGTAACATAAATGGGCATAATTATAGCAACAAATTATTACTTGGGACACCTGGATGGAGAACGGTCCACCAGTCACACGATATAACAGGTTAACGTAAGGCTGCTTCTGGACTGGTTTCAGCAAGCCGCAGTACCTTTTGCCGCAGAAAAACTAGCTGTTGTGTCCTTTTGGGTGACAATCTCAGTTCACATTTTTTCTTGACATTATCCGACTCTGCAATGAAAACAATATAGCTTTTTGTTGCCTCTCACCTAACTTAACCCTCCACTGCCAGCCCCTAGATATAGCATTCTTTCGGCCTATGAAAACCCAGTGGAGGGTCATCCTAACAAAATATAAAAACGTTCGCACAAAGGCCCAAAACATCTAGAATGATAGTTTTCCGGGAGTGTTCAAGCAGGTATTGCAGAAAAGTTACGGTCAGGGTTTAGAAAAACTGACATGTACTCAGTAAATCCCTAGTCTGTGCTGAGCAGAATTGCAGAGAAAAATGAAAAATATGCAGATGCCATCCGCACTTCCGTTTCTGAGCCAATCAAGCAACAAGTGAAAGGAATGCGCTTTGCCATTTTACCACAACGCAAAATAAAGTTTTGAAAGTCTAGCCTGAGAAAAGTGTCTTGGTTCCAACCGAGGAGCTTGTTACCGGAACCGAGCCGTGCTAAACCAGAAAGTGACTCGGCTGCCAACGTTTATCTAAGAGAAGCCGATTACTTGTCCTCTGTCGGTGATGTCAGTGACAATCAACTAGAAATCTTTCCTGATTGTGATGACGAGTGTGTTCCACCATCAACGAAGGCCTGTCGAACACGAAAAACATTTCGGAGATATTTGTTATAGATGCGTTTTGTAATTCTTTAAATATATAAACGGTGACGTTACTTACCCTTGCTTAATACAACATTGGTTCTGTTTGTGTTGTCTTCATGACCAAAGTACCCCCGTAAAGGGGTAACTCTGGCTATAGTACATATTTCAAAGCAACTGTCTTAAGGACATAGAACTGCAGCAGTCAACACTTTCTATAGCATTATTACACGATAGCCCATAAGCAGATCATGCTGAAAATGAACCCCTTAGGATTGATGAAGCTTATTTTGACTTGCCTAATAAATTTTTTACAAAAGCACTGATAAATGTGTGATACATTTAGAAACAAAAAAGTGGACCAAAGTTACCCGATTTTACAGTACATCAGTAATTAGTGCAAAATTGATAGGGATAAGAAGCGTATCTTTCGTATGAGATGTAATACGGATAAAAGCTAGGTACAAGCAGAAGGCCCGAAGAGAGATTGGAAAAACTTTAATTACCAAGTCTAAGCACAAGAAGTGGAACAATAACGAGAAGAATGGCCATCAGCCTATCAACAGTAAATTGGTCGACGAATTAGACCCTCAAAAAGTCGAGGTAGTTGAGCACAGAAAAAGACAAAAGCAGGTGAAAGAAGGTGAGCTAAGGAAAGCAAACAACATAACTGCGATAAATTGGAATCGGAATAGGGAATAAGTATCGTCAGGATAATACCGAGCACACAGAAACAAAATGGCTCATTTACAATATCGGTCCGATTTCATTTTTTCCCGTCTGAAATGAAAGGAAGAACAAGAGGAAGTAAAGTGTCTGTGACGCAAAATCTGAATGCATCATTGGTCGAAAACGTGAGTGCCGAAAAAAGTGAGTTAGAGAGGAGCTTAAATAACCAGTTTCAAGTGATTTTTGTGACTAACGATAACAGACGCGACTGATCCAATTGCTATGGCTTGCATCTCCATGAGTATAAAGAGTAACGTGATAAAGTGGAACGAACAAAGAGGACAGCCTGAGTCAGCAGAAAAGTAGTGAATGGAGGAGCGTCACTCGGCTCCCGGCAAGATTATATCTGGCAGCGATGAAACAGACTATCATCCAGCTTCTCGATAAGTGACCTAAAGCCATTACGCAGTGTTATTTTGTCGCGTAATCAACTGGTACCCGGAAAGCTTCGTAACCAGACGCAGTGGCTACAAACAACACATAGAATGCACAGAAAGATGAATCAAATGAGAGCTACAAGGTAAAAAATATCCAAAGAACGGGTTCAATAGAGTGAGGTACATATTTTGGAATAACTAATTCAATCATGTGACACCCATAAAAAAGGAACTGACAAGAATGTGGAAGTCGGGGGCAAGATTCATTAAGGACCAACTCAAAAGACAGACCAGTTGAAGAGAAAAACAGATCAACAAATGTCACGGATCGGAAGACGCGAGGAGCTAACAATCATTTTGAAAACAAATCGTAACTAGGCAGGACCTTCAGTAGAAGAGTCGAGACATCGCTGAATGTTGTCACCAGTTTACAGAGGACTATGGATTTGTCAGATGTTGCGTAGAATATCCAAAACGTTTAAAGGCCAAGGCGCGAAACGAATACTCAATAAACCAAAACACCAATCCCCATCCTTCCTGATAATGCTGTAAAGTAAGATCGTCAAAGGACCGATGCCAGAAGGGATGTCACTTCAGGATCTAGATAGTCCCATCGACCGTCCGAACATCCAAGGTCCGGCGCTGTGACAACTGACAGTAACGCTCAATGTATAACGACGGAAATCCTGCGAAACCGAAGTAGAATCTTTTGCGGTGAAACAGTAAGATAGTAATCCACAAGGCACCTTGGTAAGCTTACCCAATAGTGGTCAGAGACAATTTCCTGAATGCCAATGGGAGTAACCGTACACCCCATCACGGGTAGATGTTAAAAGTTGACAGAGTCAAGGCACGTGTTCCACGTGGTTGGCAAGCCAGGATGGAACAACGCCAGCTAAAACCTACAACAGGTGTGATCGTGTTGAGTCCATAGAGGACAGCAAGTGGTACATCGGTACTCGATATTCCTGAATGAAGTTCTGTTTACAAACAGGCAATAGTGTGCGCATAGCTGCAACAGGTAGTCACTAGTGTCTATGTGATCGGGACAAGGTCCAAACATCACGCCTGAAGTCCCGAAGTGCTTAGGATACCTAATTGCTTACTCAGCAACTCAACCATAGGAACTATATCTTAGTTTGTTACAATACGAAGTGGTGCGCTAATTTCGTGACGTAAGACGTCGGAAGCACGAGCATCAAGAGTATATGCAGTAACCACAAACAAACAGCGTCCAGAACAACCTCATGGACTTGCCTTTGTTGGCGTTGTCAAAAGAACACATGTAGTTAGTAGTTTAGGAGTCATCCAATCAATGAGCCTTAGTGACAAAAATAATGTTTACGCGAACTTGGCCTGCGGCTGTTGTATCAACACCTTCAAATGAGTGTAACTATGCGCATATTCATCAAGCGCATATGCAAGAGTGTATTATCCTACATATAGTGAACATGATTGAGCGAAATCACGAGGCAGCCAGCTGAAAACATGGAAAGAAGCATGAAAAGATGGACTACACGATGATTTCAGTCAACGACTGCCATCAGAAAGTACGGGAATGTCGCGGTAGGTTGCACAGACTAGCATAAGTCATAGAGCAGCGAGGATGGTAGTGGCACTCTTGCTTTCAATCTCCTGGTTCAGAATGCCCATCAGTTCATCAGACAACTAATTGCCTTTATTGTTCGTTTACATTAATATCACCATTCTGCTTTCTATCTTACTTTCCAGACTCATGCAAAAGTACTGGGACTGGGTCGGCCGGTGGCCGAACGGTCTGCGCGCTTGGTTTGCAACCATACGGCCACCGCTTCGAATCCGCGTAGGGGTGGGCGTCCTCGCGGTATATAGCCCACGCGCGACTGGTGGTGGTCGCGTGGCAGCGAAGCGTCGTTACGGCTTGCAGCTGGCGATTTATTTTTATTTATTCAACTGGACTGTGGAGTGAGTCGGGACGATCAGATTCATATCACTTCGGTACACTGAGCGTGCTGTATAAGCCCAAATAAAATGAATCGGGTGAGCATTTACTATTGGTCAACCTAGCAGAGTCATTAAAACGATAATTCAGCCATATCACTAGCCAAAATAACAAGGTCTGGGTTAGCCAATCGCCGGATAAATTGAGTGGAAAGATATGCAATGGCGAAACATGAAAGGAAGAGGACTGAGCGCTGCAAAGTAAATCTGTAAATACAACGTCAATGGTTTGCACCTCACTGCTTGTCTTATTCTGATCATAAACATATGGAAACACTTGCTCCTTCCCAATGAGGAAGGAAACCATGGTCTGTGCAGTCATCATCATCATCATACACGTTAGCTAGAGGTGGGGAACACCTCAGCTACTGTGCCGCAATACAAAGAAAAAAAGGAGAAAAAAACAACTGGTGAAAGCTGGCTGAGCTACCGGTAACGGATGGGCATCGTTCCGGTAAGCTACCAGCCAGCTGCTGTGCACCCAAAAAAATTATTATGCAAAAATATATAAGGCTAAGTAATGAGATCGTGGTTGGAGGGGGAGGCTAAGAAGGATGGGGTGGGACAAAGAAACTCACAGCACGAACGCCACTGAGGTCGGCTCCTAGCCATATCAGCAAGTGTGTCCAACCAAACGTGTTCACCGTCTTTCGGACCCCAACCAGGGAGCCGAGACGCTCCAACCGAGGTCAGCTCAGAAGTGAGCGTCTTCATTCCTCTGGATCATCGCTTGGCCACCCCTCCTCTTCTTCCATCCACACCCCCGGCGCGCAAACAACACACGTCGCGGAAGTCGGTGGGCTGGCATGCGTAACACGTGGCCGAGCCATCGGAGCCTGATGCGTGAAATAACCGTGCTGAGCGGTTCATTTCCTTTTCCTGTGCCATAAAGAAGGAGTCGAACATGCTCGTTAATCAGGCGGTGTTCCCACCAAATGTGAGCTAAATTACGAAGGCACCGGTGGTCGAACATTACTAGCCTCTTCAGGTCCGCTGCTTTAAGCGGCCAGGTTTCACAACCGTACAATAGGGTCAAACGTACTGCTGCATTGTACACTCTACCCTTCAGGGCGAGAGTGATGTCGCGCCGGCGCCATAAGTGGCGAAGATTAGCAAAAGCGCCCCGAGCTATTGCTATACGATCCGTGATTTCATCTTCAATCCCATGGGCGCTGATACAACTTCCCAGGTAGTGAAATTTTTGAACGACTTCTAGCTGATACCCACCAAGCGTCAGCGTAGGAGGCGGTCCAGACCAATCTTGGAGAAACGCTTTGCACTTTGAGGGTGCGAAGCAAAGCCTGGTGACGGACAGCTAGTGCTAATCTGTCCAGTGCCGCTTGGCACGTTTGTGAGCTGTCACAGATCAAGGCAATATCATCAGCATACTCTAAACCAAGAAGTGGTTCTCCTGGGAGTAGCTCCACACCTTCAAAGTCGTGTCCTGTGAACGCGATTTCCATGACTTTGTCAACAGCGAAGTTGAAAAGGAAAGGTGACAGCGGGCATCCTTGTCTCACACCGCTGGAGATATTAAAGAGAGACGACAACTTGCCGTAAGCCCTCACTCTGCCCGAGCTACGCGCATATAATGCTCGGATAATATTCACATATTTCTCAGGTACACCTTTCCTGAGTAGACAGTCCCAAAGTGCATGTCTATGCACCGAATCGAATGCACCTTTGATATCGAGGAACACGACAACGGTAAGCCGCCAATATATGTGACGGTGCTCCAATAACTGACGAAAGGTGAAGATGTGGTCAATGCAGCCACGACCTTGACGAAATCCAGCTTGCTCTTCACGAATCTGGCTTTCACGAGTGCCAGTCAGTCTGTGAAGGATGACAGAGGCAAGCAATTTGGAGGCGATGGAGATCAGACTGATACCTCTATGGCTGCCGCATTCCGATGGTGAGCCTCCTTTGAAAATTGGGACTATGATGGAGCGGCTCCAATCGGTTGGGACAGTTTCCTGCTCCCAGAAGTTCACTAGTAACTCGTGTAAATCATCCACAAGAGCAGGTCCCCCGAATTCGAAGAGGGCTGGAGGAAGGTCATCAGGTCCCGCGGCTTTATTTAACTTCAACAGTTTGATCTCATGTTCGACTTCTGAGCGAGAGGGTGGATCCAAAGGAACAGTCCACGGAGCAGGGCGATCACTCGCCGGAGAGAAATCTAACAATTCCGACCGATTAAATTGCCTTTCAAAGTGCTCAGCCCAACGTTCCAGGCGTTTTGATAAGTTGTGGATAGGCTGTCCACTCTCGTCACGTAGTTTCACTAACACCAGGTCTCCTGCTGCCCGTTTCCCGTTTAAGACGGAATAACTCACGGTGGTTACCAAGGACAGCGGCTATTTCCATCTCTGTTGCACGACGAGACCACCAGGATTCGCGGTCTCTCTGCAGGCTAGCACGGAGTTTTGCCCGGAGCTCTTTGCGAGTTTCATTGTGTTCGCTTCCAACCGGAATATGCCGGCGAGCATCTATAAGTTCCAAAGACTGTGAAGAGACTCAATGTTCATGTTGGCGATTAGACATACCACATGAGGATTTGCCTGCTGCTAGTAAGGCCGGTTGCATATGAGACCAGTGAGCTTCAATTGCATCCAGTGAGCGTTTATCCAACTCGGATGACAGCGCAATTTGATAGGCGTTCAGAACAGCTGGCTTCATCAGTCTGCCTGTATCAATGCGCTCACAACATCGTCGTGGGCGTCCGCCAAAGCGCATCCGCATGTCAGCACATACAAGTGCATAATCGGTGTCAATACCTGCGCTCCAAATCGAGCGACAGTTCTGGATGCAGCCTCTCCAGCGGTAACTGATAGCAATGTGATCGATTTGTGTCCATAGCTGATTCGAGGCTGGTGGGCGCCAAGTCACCCTCCGGCGGGTGCTGTGTCGGAAATTAGTGCTCGCAAGAAATAAGCGAGCATCTCCACACAAATGAAGTAACCGCTCACCGTTATCATTACGGGAGCCTATACCATGTTGGCCGCCCAGATGCAGCTCATCTGTGGATAATTTTCCAACTTGAGTGTTCAGATCCCCAGCCAGCACTACAGTGTCCGAGCTTCTTCTGTGGCGAAGCAGTTCGTTCAGTTGGCGATAGAAGTCGTCTTTTACCGAGTCATCGCTACAGTTTGTCGGTGCATAGGCAGCGATAACGAATAGACACCTGTTAGTCCCACGCGACTTCGAAGTTTTGAGCGAGCCAGCCAATCGGACCGCACACATCCGGCTACTGATTGGAATCCAATCAACCAGGGCAGCTTCAGACCGGGGACTCAGGGCAATACCAACACCGGCTTGGCCGGTGCTCGAAGCTGCATCGTCACCGGATAGGCGCAATGAGAAAGTGCTGCTAGTGTCACCTGAAGGGGATCGCAGAGTGAGTACAGAGCACGAATCTTGCAGGCGGGTCTCCGATAAGCAGCAGATATCGATCGAGAGGGTCTGCAATGTTCGGGCAAGTGCTGCCTGTTGACCGATCTGAAGCAATGTGCGAACATTGAGGCATGCCAGTCTGAAGGAGGATCGAGGGCTCCAAATGGAAGCCGATGAACTGGAATGGGCCGCTTGCTTGGACATGGGCCTGTTGACAGTGCAGGAATGACGCTCTGCGCTCACCTGTGAGTTGAAACTAAAAGACAAGCGACTATTGAAGCAAGGTGGGGGAGGGCCGGGAATTGGAGGGTTGAAAACAGGGGGGATAAAAGTGAAGCTGGAACAGGACGATAAGGGTGAAAAAGCGCAAGAAGGGGAATAAGAAGATGGGAAGGCTTGAGCAGTAGCATCCAAACCCCTATCCACCCTACTCGATGCAGCAGATAGGGCACCGTTGATTATCCTCTGCGGTGGCCAGAGCATCAGAAATTTGTTTGGGGAAGGATTCGTCGTATTGCGTGGGCAGAATACTGTCAGGTTGCCCAGGCCTAGACAGGAGAACGATTAGGGTTCTCAACCAAAGCCTTTGGTTCAAAAACCTGACCGCAAGGCAGCGGGTTTGGCACTGGACTACAAGGAGTCCGTTTTAAGGAATAAGGAGCCACCCTCATTCCAACCCCCAACCTAGAGGACTAGGAGGCTGAGTTTGTCTGGCCTCTAACCATTGATCAATCTGGTATGAGTGGCTCTGAAGGTGCAAAAGCACCACCCAGTATAGCTCAATGGATCACTGAGGCACACAAAGCATCGCACCACGGTAAGGTCCATTCTCATTGCGATGGCTGTGCAGTAGACCAACTGCGATGAGCTCATCCGAAGTAAACCACTCCGCTTCGATACGGACACAGAAGAAAAAGGTCAGTGAACACTACCAAGTCACATGTGAGAACATGCTCGTGTGATTTCTGGCGCTAACCCGCTGACACGAGTGTATCCGAAGCACTGTTCAGGCGCCACCAAACGTCACTAACTATGAACGGAGGTTCCTAAACGCATCGAGTCCAGGCGCAATTTTATCGTAATGACTTAGACTCTTCAAGCTGATGCAAGCAAAATGTAATTCGTAATTATAATATTGTGGTCTTGGATGTTATCTTGAGTAGTAAGATATTGCAGTCGACTCTACCTTAATTTGGATTACCAGGAATGACTAATGGTGATCTGAATTGAGGCACATTCTTAGTTCGGATTGCGTCAGGCAACATCAATGTCTCAGGAAGGCACAAGTAACTGTCTGTGGAACTGGGAATTCTGATCAGGTCTCCTTAGAGTCCCGAACAGCATCCCGTAAAAACTTTCTGCGGCAAAATAACTGGGTATTCAAGACAATCAGCTATGAAATGGCTTGATGACGATTCGGGGTGCTTGTAGCTCATCACATGTTAACTGGACGTGTTCTAAGAGGTGGATAACAATAGAAAATAAAGAAGTGTAGCCAACCTGTCCAGTAGGCATTCATGAAGGTCGCCGGAGCGCTGCGCCTGCCTCAGAACGCTCTTCTCTTCTTTGCTCAATCGCAATTTATGATCTTGCCAGCTTTGAAACTTGCGGCTAAGACAAAAAGTGCAATAAAAACTAGAGTTGCATTAAAAAATCCACATGGTCACGAGAGAGATGTAATATAGCACATAAATTTGTACGTGATAGAGAAAGAAATTTACCTTAACCAACGGCATAGGTTGTTTCCATTTGAAGTCGCAAAACAACAACCAATGCTACCATCCTCAAATGACACAATTTTGAGTGCTTCTGATGATTACCCCATTAAACAGTTACTGCCATTCAGTTAACACATCGGTGGACGTTTCATGTTGAAATGTTGAACCATTTCACCCTAACCGAGCTACCGATAACGTCACTAGCACACTGTGCTCAGTATCTGCGAGTAGAAGGCACAGCTTTGCGTATCGATTCACTTTACAGGACCACGGGTAAGAGCTATGATTCGTTTACCCAAGCGTTTTCTGCTCGAATATTGCGTGGAATTCAAAGTTAGTAGTTCACTTTACTCGTCAGTTACGTTTCGTAGACCGTACTTGGGATAAACGTAAATCCAGCACTACACACACATGAGCATGATCAGTATGGACACCCAACAGTGAAGTAAGTAACCACCTCCTGTAATTGCGTACTGTAAATGAAACCATCGCTAACTCATAGTCCGTTTCGCATTTGGTGCACTGTCCGCCCACACGGGTTACCGTGGCTACCTTAACTCTACATGAAAGTTCCTGTATCCGAAATTATGTAAAGGAAATTCCAGGAACAAGTTCAATCTCCCTACTATGATTGCCGCTATCTCCTACTGACCGAAAACGTCGCGAGCGTCAGTTACCTCACATTACTTTAGCAACTTTGTCACAAATGAAATGAATTCTGCTATTATGGCTCCCAAGAATCCCCATACTACGGAGGAGCTATCATACAAACACGCCGTATCGAAACAATTAGTATCCCAGATGATGAATTCACCCAGCTATGCGAGATCACATAGTGTCCAAACAGCCTACATTGTTTCCGAGATGACTAGTAAACCAGCGGATGTACATACTGAGCTGATCATGCCTAAGCAATATGACTCCTTTTCGAGCGACTGTCACAATACCTTATCTCACTGTCTTACAACATGAAGGCGTTTCATAATTGCTATCAATCGTACATATAACATGCGATTGAAGTAACAGAATAGCCGCTAAAACGCACCAACGTGTAATCAGTTCGCAAAAATCCGATCATCATCAGATCTGATCGAATCCATTTCTTCGCCCATTGCTATTTTACTTGTATGACTGTACAGGTCTTAGGATGAATCATCGAAAACAATCGCTTACCTTCGGTCTGTTCTAGACATAGATCTATTGATCTCTGAGAAGTGTACCCAACTTATGGTTTGGACACTAACAGGGATTAGATGTAGCCTGATATGACTCAATAAGACGCTTCAGGATAACAGCTGTCCACTTGTGTTTAAATCCAACAGATCATGTGATCAGTGGCGTAGCGACTACTTTTGTCGTCCGAGACGGCGGTAAAATTTTCGCCCTGACTGAGGGCAGCATAGGCGCGTGAAGGCCACACAATCGGCTCAGGGTAAAGTGCATAGTAGTTTTCGATGAAATGGGAGATGGTTTGGGACACTGAGTTAAAGGTGGTGAAAGTGACTACTAGGGGGCAAGTAAGAGGATCACTGGAAGAACGATTGTACAGGTGTGACACAAAGGGCAAATTTGCTGTTGGACATAAAGCGTAATAGCAAAACATTCAACCCATACCCCAGCCGGATGTTTTGCTCTTTATATTTGGTATCGAACATTCGTCGCCTCCTGTCATATATCACCTTGGGCGGACCGTCTCCCCCACCCCATGCTACGCCACTGCATGCGAAGCAACTAAATGTCTTCAAAGGGAATCAGTCATCTCATCGTCTACGGAATGCAAACCCACCGTCATTAAGCATGAGCACTTGTTGTGCGTCCAGGAACGACACCATAGCTCGATCATTGATGGTCGCTCAGCTAAACTCAAACCGAATGCACTGAAAACCAAACCGCTTACGCCTGAGCTGCATCAATAGGTTGGCAACGAGGTACATGACGTTGCTGATGGAAAGCACTTTGTTGAGTGTATGGCAGTAAACAATGCGAAATTTAAGCCCTTTCGCCATTAAGATCGTAAAGTAACCTCTTAAGTTCACGTGAACAACACTAAAACTCAGGTACGGCAAACCGCTCGCCTAGTGTAATATACGTCCGGTCAATGGTTCCCAAGAATTCTGTGTCCGGTCGTACTTTGGGTCGTCAAAGACGGACGGGGCTGAAAGGCAAAACAGACCCTTCGTAGCCGGCTGGACAGTTTCATCGCAATCACCTTGTAAGAGTCGGACGTGGATGAAAGGCGCGCCTGACATACACCCCGTGGCAAGCTGACGGTGTTGTCACAGCTGACGATGGAGGATCGAGTCTGAGGTGTGTGGTTGGATGAAGAAAACACGCACGAAATATGGTTGCAGTAGATGTCTGGCCATTACCGCATCATATACCAACGAAGAAATGGGATGAAGCAAAACAGCAACTTTCACGTGTTAATATACCGGAAATACGGTAAGTGGTATGTGAACGTATGGACCGGTTTGCAACATGCGGAACCTTTCATCCCTGTGCAGGCGCTACTATCTGACGAATAAATGTGATTCGCCGAAGCGAGTACTTTTCATTTGCCACTTCAAAGCACCTTCTTACTGCAACCCTGTGGTGTTCGAGTACAGTCAGCAACTGATAAATACCCATCCGGATATTTTTCTAGAGATCGCGTGAAAGGTTAGTTGTGCTTTCCCCACTTGCTCTGGGTTTCCGCACTGATCTTCCTTACACGAGGTCAAGCAGCGCCCAGCCGCCTGTGTTGATGTAACGGGTTAAGCAATCTCGTAAATGGCCACACACTCTAACTATGTCCGTCAAGTCTGCACAGTTCAGCTTTCTTATTTATCAAGTCCTTATCATATCCAACTGCTCTCCAAACACAGATAGTGACACGCGGTTAATCCTAATTGCTGGCCACACAACCGTGTGGGTGCATCTATTAATCAAGCTCTCGCATAGTTGTTCTACAACGCGGCAACTAAGACGCGTATACGACGCGACCACACGCACTAACTTCCCGGAACTCCACGATGTTGCCCCGAATGGAGAACAGGCTATATCTAACTGCATATAAAATACATTCTGACCCGACATCATAATAAAGTACTCATTGTGATGGGAGTATACACTCGAACGAACGTGCGGTGCCAGCCCAGCAAGGAAACCGTTAGGCTGCCGCAAGGAAAGACGGCAGCTGATTGGACGTTCACACGTTTCCCGCATGCACGCTGATTGGCCAACAGTTGGACGCATTGGAGTGAGTTTGTTCGACTGAATCAAAGGACAAATGTCATGCATTCACAAAGGTCGTTAATTATGGATCCAACTAGCTGTATATACCGATATGTTTCACTCGCCCTCTGCCTGCGTTTTCGCCTGGTCCTTTTGTTTGCAGAATATACGTTTTGTCCCTGAAGGACCGACTTTTTACACTCATAACAGTCGTTTACAAACAGGTGGTTTACTGACACCGGAATGTTTTACAGATCAGCCAAATGAACAACACGTCTATCACGGCTGGACTCTAACCGCAAGTACGTATTTCAACTAGTAGTGAATAAGCAAGAAGACGCGTCAGTCTGGCACGCAGTATACTGAACACTTAACGGTTTACATGTGAACACGGAAAGTTAGGGTGTGTCCTTGAGTGCGTGTGTGCGTGCTTATCTACGTGTGTGTGTAGGGCCAATCACGTTCACGGTCATAGTGAGCGATCATTGGTTGAACACGTAACAGTCCTCCCTGTTTTGGCTGACGTTACAGTCATGGCTGAAAACGTTCGATCGGTTTGCGAATCCGGGTCGATCGGCGTAATTGAGTTTCCCCTGTTGTTCTGTGTTCGTCGTGCTCTGCAGCTTGCTCTGCGATCTCCGAGTGTGACTGACTCACGGCAGGTGTGTCAGTGCTCCTGGGGCGTACATGATCTGAGTGCCGGCGAACAACCCGGCCGTCCGGAAGCTGCAAATCGTTTTGACTTCCTGAAGAATCGAGCACAGTCGCCGGCTGCCAACATTGTTCATGCGGTAACCTGGTGTAAACAGGTTGATGGTCCTGAAATGTAACTTCCGGCTTTGATTCCTCTGAAGACACAAACTTTTTCTGACGCTCCTGTACTTCAACACGCGGGTTCGGGAACAACAAATGAAGCCTCGTTCTCAGATTTCTGCCGAACATCAATTCCGCCGGGGATTTCCCGGTAGCCTCAGTGGGTGTAGAACGGTAGGAGAATAGGAACCGATCCAGTTTTGTTCGCAATGTTCCCGTTCGCTGCTTTAGTAAGCCTTGTTTCACAGTTTGTACTGCACGCTCCGCTAATCCGTTTGATGCTGGGTGATACGGGGCTGATTTAACGTGTTGGATTCCGTTGTTGGCGACAAATTTACCAAATTCGGCACTGGTAAAAGGCGAACCATTGTCTGTACAAATGGTTTCCGGAATGCCAAACGTAGCGAAGGACGAGCGCATTTTAGTGATGGTGGATTCGGCTGTCGCCTGAGTAACTGGATGTACGTCAATCCACTTAGAATGTGCATCAATAAGTAGAAGAAACATGGTCCCGTCGATCGGTCCGAAGTAGTCGGCGTGGATACGCTGCCAGGGCTTGTCGGGCCAACGCCAAGGGTGTATTGGGCCTGGCGCCTTGCTCCGCTGATACGCCTGACAAATATCGCAATTCTTCAGTAAGTTCTCTATGTCTGAGTCGATGTTGGGCCACCAGCAGTACCCTCTCGCTAGTGCCTTCATTCTCGCCACACCTGGATGAGCATCATGGAGCTCTTTAAGTATCTGTGAACGCGCCTTGGTGGGAGGGACTAGACGAGAGCCCCAAAAAACACAGCCGTCGAATAGACTCAGTTCGTTCTTCCGAATCATAAACGGTTGTAATTCAACTGTCCCTTCAGGAGGCCAACC